ACTTGAACATGACGCTGCTTTTTTCGAAGTTTCTCAAGAACCATTTGAGCCACAGAATTCGTTTTGGCATCGTTGGATAGAGAATTGAATGGGGGGGGGTCATAACCCCCATGACCCCCTTAGATCCGCCCTTTCAAGAATTATCGTGTTATTTAATTTCGAATGTTCCATTTTTTCTTTTGCTGTTTTCTTTCTTTTGAAATTCAAATTACTCTAGAAAAAAATATCTAAAAATGAGTGATCGGGTGAATTTGGAGGCCAGTCTATTGACGGGCGTTCGTCTCAACAGTTTCATGAAAAATTGATAAGACTAGCCAAAAAAAAACGGCTTTGCTTTAAAAAAATGACTTCATGCTCAATTCGTATACATGCACAACTGAAAATAGGAATATTCCGAGCAACCACAAGAGATTTGAATAAATTACTTTGTATTTTCTTACCTTGCGAAGTGGGTATTAACAGCTGGGCACCTTGAATGCCCTGGACTAATTGTCCAGAGGCTAAAATCAATTGAGGCATTGGCGCCGGCTGAGGGGATTGCATTAGATGGTTGGGGGGCGGCAATGAAGGTGCTGGAGGCGGTTGAGCACTTAAGGCTGTCAGGTTATTTGTTGAGTGATCACATGGTATACTGTTCGGTTGAGATCGGGGCGTTGTAGCTAAAACACAAAATTTCCTATTTCGAAAAATAATACACATGAAAATTGTTATTGCCAAGTACGTCTTTTATGAGCTTTTTCTCAAAGATCAAGAGAATAAAGTGTTTTAATTGGATGAGTCTTTTAATTGGTGACTAATTTTAATGGAGTTAAAATGTTTGCAAAGTTTTTGCTAAACGTGCCCACATTCCGCTGATCAACAAGACGTATCTTTGATTTAATAAAATACGGCTTTATGCTTTGTTATTTCTCCTTATCTTCCATTAATCCTTTTACTGTTTTCTGCTCAGGTAAATGAAATGACGTTTTTGTATATTTCTGTTCATATTGATAGATAGTATTTTTCTCATATGTATCAATTTCACTCTAGTTCTAGGCAAGTATTGAAAGCTTCTATGAAAAGCTAAGAACAACACAAGTACAAAGGTCGATCGAACTTTAAATTTCCTCGTTTATTTTGAATTGTGATCATCTGGTTAATTTTTAAATAATGTCAAATCGCGAATGTCTGGTCAGTTCAGAATTTTAAGTGTAACTGATAGACATTTTTCGCGACTTAAGCAGACAAATAATTTTTAGAATAAAAACAATTTACTGCTTTACTACTAACGCCTTTCCTTTGGAATTTTCGGCCACTAAAAACTCTTCAGTTTTAAGTGTAACTTTACATTGATACATTAATTGAGATGTAAATGGGGTCACTAAGGCCGTATTGATACAAGAGCGATTTGAAAATATATATACTAAGGGATTTTGAGAGGTCATTTTTGCCAACTCGATATTTTTTTATTGTTAAAATTTCCTCCAATTTCTTCGCACTTTTGGGCTCTTAATGCCCTCGCCTGTTTCGTACAATTAATTTTCAACTCTGATTTCTTCAAGAGTCTTTTGTAATCTCTTTCTTGTCTTGGATTTTATTTGGTGCATTATTAACTTTATCTCATTCAGAATTTAAAAAAAGTAAAGTTATAGAGTTATAAGAACCATGTTGACATTCAATTTTATGCTACTCACAATAAATGATGTAGTGGGTAGATAGATGTTCCGCACAGCGCAGACAAATTGATATTTCCACAGAAATTGATTAAAAGTCCTTATCTCTGATAAGAAAGACATCGCATAGAAAAAATATTCGAGGAAAATAAGTTATCGTCTTCATATAAAAATTATCTTATTAATATAATATACCTAATCCTAAGACGTAGAGGTACGGCAATAATAAAGTAATTAATTAAAACAAGCAATTATTTATAAAGACATAATATTCACGTCCGTCTGTAGTTGGTTCTGCCCACACGTACAACTAAGTGTTTTTCTCAATTCAAAGAATGCAATAATAATATTCCTAATAATTAACTACCGCTCCTAGGCTAATGCAGTTAATTAAGAATATAAATAAGTAGGTAATCGGTAAATCCCATTATTAGCGAAAAACATCTGCATGCAAATATTTTGAATAATGAGAAAACATCGGTGTCTCACACTTGACAATTTTCGTAATAGATATAAATAAATACACCTAAACTGAGTGAATAATTATTTGCACCTGATAATTCAGCCCGAGAAACTTCATCATATTTTCGGATTAACGCTAATTGGAAAACAGATAGATCATTTCCGGGAGAGTTATGTGTATGACCAATAATTAAATCGACGTAGAAACGCCACTGAAGTTCTATGGCCATTACATAAGACGGACACAAAATTACTTAAACCGCTCAAGTGGCATGCAAATTAAATGCTAAATGCAATTTTCATAAAGCTTGGCAAATTTTTCATCACAATTCGAAAATCACGATTTAACTGGCCCGATTACCGGAAAAATGTAACACGGTTTTACAAGTAATCAGGTAATAACGTCTATTTGAATATTAAATACCGTTCGGGCGTGTGTAATTAATACATTGAATAACCAGCCATTCGAAATTAAGTAAATCGGATTTTTCCTTTATAATTATTTAGCTTTTTAAATTAGTCGAGTAATTAAAAACGTAGTTGCGTTCAACTAGGATTTTATCAATTAATATTTTCTAATACCCACATACAACCTGAATTTATACTGAAACGATGGTTAATACCAAATAGAACTAACCATACAGGACCTACATATTAGGAATTAAGATTCGAAGAGAAAACAGTTTTTGTTGTTTAGAATGTAATTTTTATCGAGCCATAAAAGACAGTTTAAGAAATAATGGTATTTATCGAAAAACACTTTTGCGTCTTGAAGATTTTTTACCATCCTAAGAACAATGAACATCGCCCCAGATTTTGCAGCTCTAATTAGGCATCTAAGCACATTTTAACATCTTGTAGTACAACGGTGGCTGTGATCTTGTTGGAATAAACTTTTGACTTTAAATACCAGCTAAAAATAAATCTAGTGGCGTTAAATCACACGATCTAGGGGTCCAAGAGAGCTTCTTGAAATTTACTACTCTTTCTTTTTATTCAAAGATGGCAAATTAATGTTTTGCGATTGTTTCCAACACTTTCACGTACTGCTTCTAAATTAACATTTGAGCGGTATGCCTGCTAGACATTCAATTTTCATTTAATTTTTGACGCCAAAGCTTTATTATTTGTGAGGTAAAATACGTTTTATACTAACCATAGACTTTTAGACCCATTATCCATATTTTCAAATGCGAAAAACTAGACTTACCAGAAGCAGCATTAACGCTTAGATTCAAAGGTCCATTTACGATGTTGGGATTGTTGCTGGATTGAACAGTATGCGAGTTGGCCATGCTGGATAAGCTGGCAGCTAAAGTTGCCACCTGCGGCAGGCTTTGATGTAGTGATGCTAAGTTTTGTAGGTTTTGCAGTGTTGCTAAACTAGCCACTGCAACAAACAAAAAAAACATAGTTTTAAAAACGTAATCAACGCCAGTATTTTTTGAAACGAGATCAAACCACAAGCGTTATTTTCTGATTACTTTTTCGTAAATGTACCCCAATTGCGAACCGTGTCAATACACTCATAGACCTCACTTGTTTATGTGTGAAATTTAAGCCGGGTAATTAAAACTGTGTGTATGTGCCGGTATGGAATCAGCTTGGCTTTGCAAAAAAATCAGTTTTTTGTTAAAAGGTTCAGCCTATATGTTGGTTGTTAATCGAACTCGGTTTTAATGAGGCGACAATCGCTATTATTTCCTAAAATATTACCTGCATTAATTTTACTCTAATTCTTAGAAATACAATTCCATCTCAATCAGTTTGTTTAAAAAAATCTGGGAAAACACAAAGCATATTGCTCTAAATAGTTAACTGTGAAATAGCAATATTTTTATAAAATCAATCAAAGAATAACACCGTTTGCATTGAAAGTTAACCTGGTGGTTATTTAGTCATTAATGTATGTCGCCTCTTAAAATCGAATTCATTTATTTCACATCGGCTTCAAATTTGAAACGCGCTTTAAATTGAGCAATAATTAATATAAAATTATGCAATTGCGGCATAGCAAGCATTAATGCATAGCAATCGGTAATTAATTCTGTTGCCCTTGTAGCACACTCGGCATAAGGATATCTACAAAACAGTTATTGAAAATACTTGCATTAAATAGGTGGTTATTATTAGATCATTTATCGCATAAGCGTCTGAAAACTTCCTTAATATCTGTCGAATTAAACAGTTTCTTGTACTTAAAGAAGAAGGTTACATTTTACAACATTAACATAATGTTGAAACATATGCGTTTAGTTGCGGACAAAGAGCATGTTGGAATTCAATATCTATTTAATTTTAAAAAATTGAGCGATTCTCTAGAGCAATAAGCAGATACTTTGGCTCTTGGCTCATGTACTATGATCTACACATAATCACCAACGCAAAACTGAAAAACTACTGAAATTGCACTAATTTATTGTACGAACAATGGAATCTTTCGATAGTCGGAAAATGTGAACATTCTTGCCTAAAACTTGACTCAGCAAATGCGAACATTGACCAAGTACAGTTAATAAAAAAATATGGAAGATGTCCACTAATCACTAGTCGTTTACATTTACAGGTACACCCTGTATATTGGAAGTAATGAAGGTGCAGCAAAAAAACACATTACAATTGACAGTAAAATTTTCTTACAAACTTCTTTTTGGGTATTTCGCCTCAAAAATTTTGCACAGACGAATTATCAGAGCGAATTTTCATATATTGTATTATCCTACTATTGTTACACAATTTATTAACATACTCTTTTTTAGGTTCATTTAGGTTCTTTTGATAACGATAGCAGAAAATAGCTATCGAAACGTCAAGGTAATTTTGCAAATTTATTCCTCTACTAATTGGAATTTTCTCTTACAGCTTGAGCCTATGTGTGTCGCAGGATACCCTCTAGGTGATAGTTCTTGATTTCTTTTTAATAAATAATTCGTTCTTATTGCAAAATAGGAGCACTATTTATCAATCTGTAATAAAAGACGTGAGGAAATTCTGTCGAAATACCCAAAAAGAAGTTTGTAAAAATGAATCCGCCTCAACAATATAGAACTTATCTACAACTTAGTAAAATTTTCCTTCCGAACTTCGAAAGATCATCAAAGTGCGTCTAATGGTGCAAAATATTTTCATTCTTAATTGTTGCCAAAATTACATTCGAACCTCAGTGGATTTCGTAGGCAAAAATGGGTTGTCTGCATAAACCCCTTTATGGGTGTTATGAGGTAGATTGTTGAGATAGATTTTGATTTTTTCGTTAATATTTTTAATGTTGTCATGGCTGAATCGAATTTTCAATTCCCTATCTAATGATGCCACAACGAATTCTATGGCTCAAAAAGAGTTTGAGAAACTTTAAAAAAAGCAGCGTCATGTTTAAGTCAAATTTTCAACTAAAAAAAAACACATTTCATTTACAACAGTTTCCGAACTAACCCATAAAACCGACCAATTTCGCTCACTCTGTATGCTAGTTACATTGCATTGCGTCTTCCGAGTCGTTCAAAATCATTTCATCTAGACACTGTTCAAACCTTATAGCTACTGTTAAACAGAGCGCAGAATAAAACTGATTTGAAAAAGTATCCATACTCACTGGTGCCATTCAGTTGCTGTTGGGACATGCCATGAGAAGGAGGTCCTGGACTGGTAATTTTACTCTCGCCTTGATGAAGATGATCATCCTGACGTGCTTGTGGTGGCATGGTAGGCCGTAGAGGACACAGCGATAGATCGGTGCAACCAGCCGAATCTGTAGCTGGAGATGGGGACGCTACACTGGACGTTTCAGAGCAATCGCTTTCCTGCAACAA